CTTGGTAGCAGGAGGCAGTCTGATGAGACATTGGGAAAGGGGGCGAGGGGTGAGCCAGGCAGGGGAATTAAAGTGCTTGAGTGGAAACCCTCAGGAACGGTCAAAACTTGACTGGGCAAGGCCTTGAGCAAACTCATTTAACTTTGTGGAGGCAGCTCTTTTGGGGTGGGGGAGGAGCTATTATTCCAAAGTTTGACCTCCAAAGGCACTTCCAAACTCAAGTTTTTCTATGGTTCTTATACGTCAGTTAGAGAGTCTTTGATCTCTTAGTTGATGCTATGGTTGGTTCTTCCCAAGTGCTTCAGTGGTTCTTATGGTTGTTAGATAGTGGTGAACCACTGAAAACAGACAAGTGTTGTGATTTTTAAAGTTAAGGATAGGACACATTTTTATGCAAGCTCCAGATTGGTATTGCTTGCATAGAGATACAATTTAATTCCAAACTTTTTTTTTTTTTAATTTATATCACTAATTTGTTTTAAGAAGAAACCTTGAATAGTCCAGACAAAATTGTGCATATGTGCTACCCTGAGGGCAACACCATTTTGTTCACTTTTCTGACTTTCTAAAAAGATACTGGAATATAAAAGCTATGAATTACAACTTCCTTTCTAAATTTAAGCAATCTTTACTTTGTTTTTACATTAATTCTTTCTGTTATTTAAACCCTCTCAACAGTCTTCTTGAAGTATATCCAATTCTGGAGTCAGTACTCTGATAGCAGTTGCATCTCTGTCAAATATAGAAACAAAATAATTAAGGTATTTTTGTTGATAAGTTTAAAGTTTGGGGGGGGGATTTCTTTTGCTCAGTATAGTGCAGTAGGATCTCAATTTTAACTATCTGTATGCTGTTACCAGTGTGTCTCATTGCAAGTTGTTTGTAGGTGTAATTTTGCATTCCATAATTGTGTATGCAGTTTTTAAGCTATGCTGCACTGCAGTGCATATGTTGGTGGCAAGCACTTGAGCGGTGCCCTTTGCCCTCTTAGTGATCTGTCCTGTTGTGGAGTCAGGTGGGTGAAGATGTGTCTAGCATCAAGATCCATGTGAAATTTCAAGTTGTTTGAAGCATGACAGCACTCAAGTTTCAGAAAATGACTGTAAGAGGCTAGCACGAGTGAAACTAATTTTTCTGGTTTTCTGAAGAGTGTTTCAGGCTCAGACCGAGGGGCAAAAGAGACCCAGCTTTCAGCCTATACTAATCCTTTGTTAACACTGCCCAATAGTAAAAGGTTCAGCAGTTACTGCCTATTAACACTAAACTATGATGGAACTACCAAGAACTTTTTAATGTAACAGGTATAAATATGGATTACTTTCAATAATTGCTAAAGGATCTCCAGTCTTGCTTAATGGAGGAAACAACAATTCTCAAAATGTTTCCCTGTAACAGTAACTTTTTTAGCTATTTTACTGGGCACTTTGAAGACATGAATAATTTCACTGATAGCTCTCTGGACCCTACATGTAAGATGTGGCATACCCTATTTGTAAATTTATATTTGAGGTTTAATTTGTTGCTTATAGAATTTGTGTACCAACACTATTTTCATGGATTAGACATTGTAGTTTTGCCAACTCATACTTTTTCTAAATATGTAAATAGATTATTTTCAAAGCTCTCAGATTCTGTGCATCTCTGTAGTACTGAAGGCTAATGTCTGTCTGGCATTTGGGCATTCGGTGACTGCATTTCTAATAAATGAATATTATATATATAAATTACTTGGTTGATATATTTTTCAGCTGGATCTCTCTCAGTTATTCGATTATTAATTTTCTGATCTTTGACATAAAATACAGAGAGAAAATTTTTATATTTCATTTTAGGCAAAGTTATGTAGCAACCATCATCTCTTGGTTAAGAAATATTAGTGGAGTCATATGAAACTTTTATACTGTCAGTAATCTCACTTTTGTTTGCTTAAATCTTATTGTTTTACTTTAAATATTGTTATTCATATATGAACATCTTCTTTTGCAAGTACTGTTTTTTGCTAATACAGAAACTCTCTAACCCTTCGATCAAGCACTTTCTTAAAAACAGATGGTTTGTGGAAAACAAAAAGTAAACCGTTTTGACTACTATGGTAGTTCAGATATCATGCAGACTGCATAAGCTTTTCACAAGGGAGGAGGAGGGAGGGAGACAAGTGTGTAAAGTGCATTTGCCGAGAGGTTGAGAACTCTTCCTTGTTTACTGGCTTGATGAAAACTCAGTTTTGTTTTGATTGTCAGAGTTCCGGCCAGCACCTTCTGTCTTTGCCCATCTAGCCAATGAACTGATTAGTTCTTACAGCTCATCATAGCATTAATAGCTTCCTGAAGTCTGTTTTGCATAAACAGGGGGTCCTGATACACAAAGTGGGAGAATGATGAGTCCTTGCACTTATATTTTCAAGGGGACTGGGGGGATTTTATGTGTTTGTGTTAGGGCATTTGTGCGTTTATTTTAGGCTTTGAGTCTTAAGGATTCTGTGAAAAGCAGTTATTTTTGGAGTTTTAGGATTCTGACATTCAGAATTCTGCTGATTAAAGCTCTTACCAGGTCATATATATCAGTATGTAGACTGCATAGCCTTTTCTGCTTCTGGCTTTGAAGATTTGTCTTAGTTTTCTTACATCCAACTTGGTTTCCTGTGGTAAAAGTGCCGTATCCTTGGAGAGATGTTTGGAGGACAGCAATATGAGGTTATGAGGATGAATTAATTTATAGGTCTTCAGATAGTGCTTTACACACAGTGGAGATCTGTCTTAAGATGTCTGACTCCACTATGTTTAGCTAATTTACTAGAAAGTTTTTGATTCTTGGGGTATCGGGTGGGTTGACAGAACACACTTGATTACAAAATGCAGCAAGTTCATAATTCAACTCTTGCAGATTTATTGCTGTTATATTTGGAAACTACAGAAACTATTAGAAATTTAAACAATACATTGTCTTAAACATTGTCTGAGTGTTCAGAGAATAATCTGAGAAATACAAATTTGTAAATTTACCTGCCTTAAATAAAATTACCTGCATACTTTCTATGAAGTAAGGAAGCTGGATTGAGGAATGGAAGTGAGTTAACTGCACATTACCCTTGTTTAACTATTTTTGTCCTTCAGAGGCTCATTTGTTACCTGGGTTTTTTAAATTTGTTTTATTTTTTTAAAGTAGGATATATCCAAATATGTAGATTCCTTATTTAGATCTGCTAAAGCTCACTAGCTTAAGTAGGTCTCAGTTGCTTTTTTTTTGTGTATCACGGTAACAGTTTTATCAACTGAGTATAGTCAGAAGTATAAATCGATCAATGCCTACTGTAGGATCCTGTCTGCACATTTCTAGTGTAAGCTGTTCTCAGTGCTGTCTCCAAGGATGAAGGAATTATGCTAAATCTTCACTTCACACTGACAGAGTTCCTGAGGAGGAGGCAGTCATTGTTTGTGCCAGACATTGTAAGGCTAAACCTCTGACTGTGTAGGCTGGGGTTCCCAAATGCAGGATTGCTTGAGTACATTCTGCTCCAGGGTTGTCACTGTCACTGCCACTTCCTAAACTTCCCAGCCCAGGGAAGCTATGGGGTAACACCCTGTGACCAGGCAGCTCGTCATCTAGGGCAGGTGCCTGCATGGTGGTGCTGACTGCAGCTCAGGTAAGTGCCTGTCAAGAGGCACTTGCTGCTAATCAGGAAACAAGGGTGTGGAAGTACTTTCTGAGATAAGTATCAGGAAATGCTCCTACAGAATACCTGGCAGTAGTTTGTTTACAGTTTCTTGGAAATTCTTACCTTGTGTTACATTCGGTCAGGAAAATCAGTGTGTTATAAACCCTGCAATATATATTAAACTGTGCCTTTTAGTGCACTGACAGATATATATGCTGTATGCTGGAGTGAAGCAAATCTCAAATTCCTTTTGTTTTGTCCAGTTGCTTCAATTTTTACCAACAGTTTCAGAAGCAGGCAGAACTTTTGTCCAGTGAATAGGTTTCTGAATTTCACCTTGCTTCAGGGGGGCTAAATTCTTTCATGGGTATATGGCCCAGCTTCTTGAGACTTGGCTGAACATTGTGCCAAAGAGGGAAAATTGGAGACTGTGTGTTCCATCTGAAGAAACAACCACTTTGGTGTCTTGGAGAGTTAGGGCCTATAAGGAAATTGATCTTTTGCTTCTCCCCTTGCATAAAGCTGCCTTCTCCAGGAACACTAGCAACAGCTCTGTTCATCTTAGCTCTTTGTGTTCCTTTCTGTCACTACTGATATTAGTTGTTTGTTTGATTTGAGCAGTTGATTTGCATGTATAAAAACCTTTGTTACTCTTAGACCTATGCTGTTCTCAATACATTTGAAACACAATAAACTGTTCAGTTCTTTTAATATCTGAACAGGATGAAATGGTGTGCTGCTTCAGGCTATTTTATTAAACTAGTGACTTGGGTAATAACAAAATTGTGTTTAAGCATAAACTTTTACTTTTGGGTTGTGTTCATGAATCTGGCAGTATATTTTCTGATTTCATCATACATTGCAAATTTTTTTAAGATTTACATATTCAAATGTAAACGCCTTAAAAAGTTTTTCTCCGCTTTAGTTTCTCTATATTTTATACTTGTTATTTATCTGTAGTTAAGAACAATTAGATGTTTTTAACAAATTGTGAGACAGTGTGGACCAGTAGCAGCAGGGAGTGGAGAAACAGGCACTGCTGATTGGGGTAATGAAATCCATAATTTATGGCCCAATATTTCCTTAACAGTGGGAGATAAGATATGAATTCAAGTTGCTTTCTCTTTCAGTTTGATAAGTCACCACATCACTGTTTTCATAGGACAATGCAGATGATCTACCGTTAGCTTCAGGCAAAACAGGGAAGAGAAATGTGGGGAAAATAAATTTAAAGATAGGTCAAAATTCTGTAAGAAAAGTTTGCATGTTGTTCCAATCATGTCTCATTTACCTGAAAAAGAACATATTTTACTAATATTAACAAAGTCTAATTTTACTTTCACAGATAAATTTGAGCAGTTTTGGGCAATAAATCGAAAACTCATGGAGTATCCTCCAGAAGATAATGGATTTCGATACATCCCATTTAGAATTTATCAGGTAGGAGACAATGAAATAAAGACACTTTTATAAAAGGCTTCCACTGAGGTGTCATATATCATAATTTGTTTGTAGAATTACATGTTCCCTTTTCTAGCATTATGGTGAAACTTTGTACACTCATCTTTGCTGGACCCTTATGTTGCATGAATTAACAAACAAAATAGCCTATGTTTATTCTAATAGGTAATAACCATTCATCATGTTGTCAGTGTGTAACATTTGAGAATGTGTTAAGGCTGGCATAGATGATGTTTGTCTGCTTTAAAAAAAAATAAAACAACCCAAAAATCTAATTATGTTATTAAAAATAACTGCTAACTATGAAGAGTGCTTTGGATGCAAAATGACGTCTGAATGATCACAGTCAAACACTTTGGGAGCAACACTTTTCCTTCAACCACTGTATAGGCTTCCTTTTTGTTATCATTTTAAGGTGAAAGTAATGGCGTAGGTCTTGCATGTAGTTCTTACCTTTGTCTTCTAATTGTATACCTTACAATCCAATCCATAGCTTTGAATGTTGTTTTTTTTCCTGTTTTAATACACCAGCACTCAATTTTTCTCAGCAGTTTATTTGGAGACATTTCTTGGCTTCTTTCCAATTTTTTACATCCCTTTAGTTTTTATAACATTAAGGTCACAATGAAGTTCAGAATTATGTGTGGTTAAGGCTTGTACAAAACTCATGTAGCCTCTCTCCAAATTAAACAGTTGTGCTCTGTTGGAATGTTTTAATCTATTTCTACTTAGGTTTTACACCTGTAACTATTAGAAGAAGGTCCTTTATTCATGGTACTAAATAGTCTAATACTACTTCATAACAGGTTATAATGACCATAGAAACCTACACAGTCTTGCAGTGGGACAGAAGTAACTTCTAACGTTACATGTAAGACATTTACTGTCATAATGAAACTTTAGATTGAGAACGGAAGTCAGTTATTTTGTCAGAGATCATAGCAGATGGCAAGGTTTGTATAAGTATCAGAAAGCATGTATCAGGAAAAGTAGTACTCACGGCATTTTGTTTGGCTTATGACTAAGTTGTTTGCTTGTTCTCTGATAGGTGTGGGTTTTTTCTACGTCTTTTCATAGAAATCGCATAAATGGGTTTGCAAAATGGAGGTTTTGCTGCCTGAATGGGTTGCAGACCTTTAAGGCCTGAGGGAGGCTTTCATTGATATCAAATGATTTCATGATAGTAAAGCTTTAAAAAAAAAAAAAAAGAAAAAAATCTAATTTGGTAAAATCTTTCCTTTAGCCAGTAATACTTGTCTTGATTCTCATTATCTTTTCAATTGGAAACCCTTACTTGCTGTAGTTCAAACCCAAAATATCTAAGAATAGAAGACCAAAGACAAATAAAAATGATGCTGAGACAGCATTTGGGAAGGTTGGTTTATATACTTTTCAGTAATGCTGCTCTTAGTATTCGTAAATATTTTTAGGTTTTTTTTTAAAAAGTGGATGCAGGTGTTTCTAGCTTTTTTTGGTTTGTTTGTTGGTTTGTGGGCTGATTACAGCTCTATGTATTTAAAAGAATTTTCAGAAAGTCTTAGGAAGGGTGAGATTATAATTTCATTCCAAACAAGGAGTTAATTCCTGTGGTTTTAATGGAATTTTACAGTACTTAGTGACAGACTTTCATACGTAGAAGTAACTGATTCTAAAATGTTCTTAAGATATATTTAACTCCTACCCTGAATGCATTTAATTTCCAATAGTGCTGGTAGAAGTCAGCTTTGCATTCTAATCAGTTGCTTTTATTTCCCTACGTAAATACCTGATTTAACCTAGGTTTGTATTGCAGTGGATGTTTATTCCCTGTGTGTTGTCACATGGTATTCTTGTAGATACTTAAGGATATACAGGTGGATGGTAGGAAATGACTAGGCATTGCCTTCAGTGGGTAGACTTCCTCCTCTTAGTCTCCATACCTTCCATTACTCCAAATTAGTAGAAGAAAATTCTGTGAAGGGAACTGTCTAGATTGTTTTTTGTCAACATGAGGTGGATGAATTTGTTTTCCTACAAGGAAATGTATTAAATTATGACATCAACTAAGAAAATTAGTCTTAGTAGCAGTTGCTGCAGAAAAAAATGCATTTAATAAAGTGATCTGATGTGTTTTTCAGTGAAGGATTGATTATTTTAAAAACTCAAAAGCTCTTTCAATTGTAAAGCTTGTCTATTAAAATACATTTCTAAAGAGTAATATGAATCATACCTCCTGTGGTGACCAAATCTGATGGAGTGTGTGGGAGAAAGAGATGGCAAAAATACGAGCATTGTACTTGGGTAAGTCAAAACTGAACTAACCACAGGTAATTTTAAAAACCCTTGTCCAGCACCTCTTCTAAGTATAGCAACTAAGATTGGACCAGAATCCTGGTATCTGTTGTAGATGATGAAGAAAAAGGCGGAGTGTCACTAAGGATCAAATAGTTTGTAATTTTAAGTTAGCTAAGATGTCTTGGAGATTTTATTGCCAGCTGTCAAATTCTGTTAACTGTGTCATATGGAACTTGCACCAGAAGAAACTTTGACTTAAGTGGAAACTTTTTCTACCAGAGACAGTTTAAAAATAGTGATTATATTTTTGTGACACTTACTTTAATGTGTAAAAAAAAAAAAGTTCCTCACTTCATCCCTTCAGAGGTATAAGCTGCTTTGTTTTCACTTGACAGGTGCACAAAACCTTTTTTGCCTTTTTGTCTAATAATACTGTTGAATAGACTGCTTTTTGCACTTGTTCTTTAACAGCAAGGGAGAAAATAATAGTAATGTTTTGAGTATATTCTGAATTTTCATGTCCAGTACTAGAGCTAGTTTGACTTGTGGAATTTTCCTGTATGTTTTTAAGACCAGCTGATGTTGCACAGTCTAATTGATCAACCTATATGACTGACAGATGGCAGGAAGTTTTCATCAGTCTTTGTCTCCGGGCACTGTGACAGGGCACATTAGTCAGGCACTGGAGAGGAGTCTCTACGTGCTGATAGTGACTACTCTGATGAACCTCTGCCTGCCGTCCTACGCTGCAGATACGAGCACTCTGAGTCTCAGTGATTATACACTTAGTTTGTACTCAGCCCTCAGTTTTGGTGTCTTGCACTCTACCCATGTCATGCTCACCCACTTGCTCACTCTTCCCTGTCAATCTCCCTCCTTTCCTCTGGAGTCTGCCCTATGAGTATATCGGATTTCAAGTTGTATATAGCATTTCGTTCTTGGGAATAAAATGCCAAAAGTATGTGAAAGAAAGTGCAGGAAAACTCTCCATGGCAAGTTTTGAGTTTAGATTTCTAGAGTTGCAATTGGCCTGAGGCAGGTTGGTTGTTGTGTGTTTGCCAGCCCAAAGCGGGAGGATCTGGGATTGTTTGTTTGCTTGTTCCTTTATTTTGGGTACTGGAAAATGCCATGGTATTGGAACGAGCATTTCCTTTGCTTCTATTTTCAGAGGGTTTTGAGTACTTTCTTAATTTTATTGCCTAATTACATAGTAGGCCTTAACTTTCAACAGTTTTTCATATCCTAAGTCCCTTAAGATGTTATGATTAAGTCGTACAGTCACAAATTGTTATGACGTTTATCTTCCTGAGTAACATGAGTGAAATTCTCCATACTTATATGTCAGTTGAATGCAACATTTTGCTCTTTCTGTCAAAGTTGCAGTATGGAGATGTCTAAATAGATTTTATGTTTACTGTTACCTGTCCTCTAAAAATAGCAAAGTGGGAGTGGGAAATGAAATATTTTAAGACATTATTAATATCTGTCTCAATAAATGAATCAGAAGCTCCAGCATGGCCACTTCCAAGCAATTGAAGGTTGTTTTATTCATATTCCCACACTAGTTGGCAGAGCTCGGGTAATCAATTGCAAACCCCATTAAAAGTATGCAAATCAGCAGCACAATTTGGCCCATGTTATGACAACTATTCAAAAACTGATCAAAACAGATTGTTTGGAAAGATACTGGGTCCACCTATAAAGTTTTCAAATTTTGTGTTAGTAGGTTATTAAATTTTTCTTTTGTTATAAGTCTCCATTGCATTTCAAGTCTGAATTTGTCTCCCTTGAGTTTCTAGATTCTGTTTTGCCTTATACCACTTTAAAGTCATGTGACTTTCTGACCTCCCAAGTTCACTTACAGAATGATTTCAGGAGCTTCAGATTTCTTTGGTAAGCAGAATCAACTGAGTTCTTTAAGCCTCTTGCCTACCACTGCTGAAGTTGGATTTTTAGTCATCTTTTCAAACTCTAGCTGATGTTTTGATACCACCTCAAGATTAGTGTTGAAGTTAGGGAGACATAGAGGCAAAATGTGTAGTTGATAGGATATTAGACCAAAAGTACTTGAAACTTCAAATCTGAAAACTTTTATGAAAGAAGTTGAAATGTAATGACTCTTCAAGCAAAAGAACTAGAAAATCTAGTTGACCTGTCAACCTGAAGAGGGCAACACAACACAGCAAGTTTCAGCTTTTGTTGTCTAGTGTAAAATGCTCTTGAACAGACCTGTGTGCAGTACCTTATTTAACTTTTTTCTTATTTATTCAAAATTATTTTTTTATGAAGGACCTGCTGAAAACAGAACAATTTCTTTATTGAAAACTTCCTTTTACAAGGAGGAAGTTTGAGTAAATAGGAAAATTGTGTGAAATGGTGATTGATTTTGTGTAACAGCTGGGCTCAGATGAATTTCTGTGCTGAAGAGAAACAAATGGGCTCTGGTTCATCATCAGTTGAATACACATAATGATTTATTCTAATAACTGATGGTTCAGCACTAAAGAAACAGAAGCACACTTTCACCAGTTAAATTACTTCAAAGCTCTATGAATGAGAAAGTTTAAAAGCCTGGTTAGGTAAATCTGTTTTCTTAGTGCCTCATAACTGAGGGGTGGGGGGGAGGGTGGGGGGGAAAGAAACCTGTTTATCAGATATTGCACGTGGGCAGCATGATCTGTAAATTCTTGTTTTCTGAACTGGAT